TTTTTTTATTCACTCTTCATAACACCACACAATGAGATAAGAGACTATTATGTAGTCTAGGATGTAGTGTTAAATTGGCTTTTCTGCTAACATGCATGGACCTGATAGAATTCATTAGAAGATTGAAGTATCTTCCTTTTAAAATGTTTTCACTGAAAACTGTAATTACAATAGTGAAAGTAAATATAAAATAAACTCAGAGAAAAATGAGCAGTAGAAAGAAAAATAAAAGGTGCAAAGAAAGAAAAGGAAAAGAAATATTTAAAAAGTCACTTTCTATCCTCATCACAAGTATAAACAAACTTAATAACTCTTCATTCCCTCCCATAACCCATGCCTTAGTCATTTAGAAATCCATAAATCATCAACTTTTCAGGCGTGGTATCAGTAAAAATACCATAAAGAGTTTTCAGTTGCCAAATGTGTTAGCAGCTTACACAATGTGGTGGGAACATTTAGGCAACTCATATTCCAAATCAATGAGATAAGCTAGCTATGGTCATTTATTTTTTCCTCCTAAATTTCATTTTTTAGTCCAATTCCCCCCATTCCATGTGCAATTATTAGAAAATCTATCACTGTCAATTATGTAACAACTACAATGGAAACTTTAAACAATTTGGTTATTGCATGACCACTGGAAATACTCCATGAGAAAAAAGAATAGATGGTTTAAAAAAGAATTGGAAAAAAGGAGAAAGGATATTATATGAAATCTCATTCTCCACACTGCAATTAACACGGCAATTGTCCAAATCTGTACATTCTAGCTTTAAGCAGAGAATCAGTGAAGTATCATGGCTGACTGTTGAACCAGGAATTAAGAGATCTGGAGTCAACTATAAAAGCTTAGTAGATCTAAGTCCAGTGGGGCTCGTGGCTCAGTGGTTAAAGACGCTGAGCTTGTCAGCTGACAGCCTGGGTTCAAGAGCCAAGCATGGCACAATCGGGTGGGCTCAGCTGCTTGCCCAGCTCCTGCCAACCTAAAGCATGCCAATGCAAATAGATAAATAGGTACCACTAAGACGGGACGGTAACAGCATTCCTTTTGTCTCGGCGTGTAGTCATGCTGGCCACATGACCACAGAAGCATCTTTGGACAATGCTGGCCCCTCAGCTCAGAAATGGAAATGAGCATCGCCCGCTAGAGTTGGACACAACTGGACAAGGGAAACCTTTACTGGTAGATATAAGTCCAGCAGAGTTTGCAGCTGATTACCTTTTGCTTCTGCATTAGTGGAAGAATCTCTCTCAGGATTGTCTGCCCAGTTTTCTTCCCTCTCGCCCAATCGTGGATTTTCTTCTAGCAGTTGATTCTCTCCATCTTCTCCCTGGTTTGGGTGAAGCTGCCCCCTGCATCAGCCAGATCCCTCCTTCCCCTCTTGGGTCTTGGGTGGAGCTTGTCCCTCTGGGTCTTCCTTTCTTCCATGGAAGGCATGGAAGAAGGACTGTTCTTCTCCTGTCTTCAAGCAGGAACCAATTCATGCCTTGCACAATTCACTTCACTTTACTCTCCAACTTCTCTCCAGCTTGTCCGTACACTCCAGCCACAAACATTTACTCTCCTCTCCTTCCTCTACTCCTTCCTGCTCTCCCTCTCTCTCTCTCTCTCTCTCTCTCTCTCTCTCTCTCTCTCTCTCTCTCTCTCTCTCTCTCTCTCTCTCTCTCTCTCTCTCTCTCTCTCTCCAATTTTTGGAGCATGTCCCAGTGAGAAGTGAGTGTCCCCCCTGGGCTCAGGTCCCTGATACTTAGGTACCTCACGGCTCCAACGGGGATACTGACTCAAAATCTCCTCATACCAGCCCTGGCTAGCAGCCAAGTCAACTCATCAGACCTCATGATCCAGCAGCTGCTCTTCAACACCCTAACTGAGCTGTGTTTTTCCTTTGCTTTTTCTCACTCCATATGTTGGCTTGCCCAAGCAGAACAGCAGCCCTTCCAGGCCGCAAAATCCATATGCTACAGAGACAGGAAGATTATAACTGATGGCTGGAACTGCAGATCCTTTTGAGCTTTGCACATTAATTTCTTTTCTAGCATCTGTTCTGGTAAACCACGCATGAAGCATGAGCCAGCAATGTGGGGCAGCTGCCAAAAAAGCCAAGGCATTTTTGAATGGCACCAATACTGTAATACTGAGATCCCACAGGAAGTAACAGCTCTGCTTTAGGCTTTAGGCTGGTCCAGTTTTGGTACTTGCTGGTCCAGTTTTGTTCAAACATCAGAAAGATGCTGAGGAACAGGAAGGAGAGCAGAGAAGAGCAAATTACAGGGAGGGTGGGTAGACTGTATGAAGGATTGGGTCTGTTAAGCCCAGTACTTGCCAAACCTGGGTAAAATTACCTCCAAATTAAGTAAAAGTGTTTCTTTTGGGGGTAATGATACACAAACCTATTAGCCAATCACAACAGAGACATTTAAATTGTCAAAAGTGTTTTACCTAAATTGGTAAATATCTTTTTAATTTCAGGTTTATGACTATAATTGTGGCAAGCCAGTATCACTTTGAAATGGGAAATGTGTTGTATTTCCTCTACACAATGGCTGTTGTCTTGCTTAAATGACTCTCTTTGGCTCCGAAAATCAGTGCTGACAGCTTAGCGCAAGCTTCATCTTTTCTGTTGATTTCACGCGGGCACGGATAAAGGGTGGATTGGGTGAAATTCAACTTCCATTGAAAACTTTTTATTTTCCAATTGTCTATAAAAAAGCATTTGAAATCCTTTTGCCCTTTGGAGGTATTGCATTTATAAATGGGAAGAGAAGAATTCCACAGCCCTGATGTCATGAAATAGAGACACTGTTTTGCTTACACAAACCTTCTCTGGATTTAGTTCCCCTTTTAGTTACTTATTGGTGCAGCAAAGAGCATTTTTTCCAAGTCTACTCAGTCCTCCCCAAACGAACGCCCCGTGGGATTGGCTCTGCTGTAAGTCTCACGTAGGCAGAAATATGGAAATACCTCACTTCTATGACTCATCCTTCATAGTTTCAGCACTCCGCGCTGTTCTCCCAAGCAAAATACATAATAAGCACAAGAGTTTTTATAAAATCATGGATTAAATTTTTCTACCAATGGCCTTCAGCGAGAGGAAGCCATAAGGGTGAAGGGTGGGGAGCTGTGACTATCAAAAGTTGCTAGATTGCTAGAAATAGAAGTATTATTATAACCGGATAGATAAGATTTGTAATCAGAATATTCTATCTTGCTATGAAAAGGGGAATAAGAAAATATTAAGAAGTTTGAATAAGGGAAGTTTTCGGTTACCCAAATATAACTTGTTTTGAAATTATAAATGATTGGGATGTTTTGAACATGGATAGGAAATTAACATTGAAAAAAGCGAAACGGGATACGAACTGAATAAATGGATATGGAGTGCAAATGCAATTAAGATATGTTTTGGTTGGAAAAGATATTCTAAACTGATATTATTGATACTATTAGAAAACTATAACAAATGCTGATATTCAACTGTATATTTATTAACAATAAGAATTGTATTTGCTTAGTGTGGAAAAATGTCTATTACTGGAAGAAGAGAGGATGTATTAGATGGTATAATATTGAATTTAATTGGAAGAAGCTTACATGTACCACGGAATTACTAATGGACTCAGTCATCACGTTGTCTATTAAGCACTTGATTGTAAACATAGAAAATTAATAAAATATTTATATTAAAAAAAGGTTGCTAAACAACAACTCCCAAGATAGTTGTGGCAACTGAAGTCATGATTCAACAACTTTTGGAGAACTGAAATTTTCTATCCAGTATTACCGGAAAGAAATTGACCAAATTTAGTGCACAAGCTTAATTTATCCATTTCTGGTATTTTATCCTTCTAGATTTATTTATTGATGCATTTATGCATGCACCTGACTCTCAACAACTCACAATAATCAAAGATGTTACAATACATCATACAGGGAAAAATGGCAAGCATAATGAAGTGAAGGGTGTCACTCTTTCCCAGCAAAGTATGAATAGATAAAGTGTTTTTCTGTTAAACCGGATCAAACTACAAATATTTTGTGTGAGGCAACCCCAGTTCTACTTTTTTACAGTTCCTGGAAGCAACTCGTCTGTTATTGGATGGTCCCAATTGTGGCCTAGATTGACAAATTAAAAAACCACCCCAGAAGATGGCAATGATAAATATTTCCATATTGTTGCCAAGAAAATGATATGGCAATGTCACACACTCTCTGGGAACTGAGTTCAACCTGAGGATGGCTCTACCATTAAAACCGAGTCTACCAAAATTAATGACTCATATTTTTTCACCTCTTTTAATAAAAACGTTAAAGACCAAAATTGATCTGTAGGCTTCCATTAAACTTCACTCAGAAGATTTGCCTTTCAAAACCCAACTTTTCACCCAGGATTAGCAACCTCCTTCAGACGCATCATGCCGTGTTGCTGTGACACCTCCCATCCCTGAGATGGAAAGTTCATTAAAGCAGCTGCCTCTTTTTTCAGAAGCTTGGAAAGCAGGCAGGAATTTTCAAGACACACTTTCTCAAACTCCTCTTTTAAATACCTCCTGATTCACGAGTAGCCCTATTATTATAATAATACCTAATATTTGTGGTAAATACTATTTACTTATGACGTTTGTGGTATCTTACATGCTTTGTTGAACTTTCAGTGCTTTACTTTGATTTCTAAGTTTTAGTGGTATGTAGATGATTGTCTGGGAACCACCACTGTGGATTTGTTCCTTGACATATTCCATCAACATTTTGCCAAAGTTATCTGAGATAAGTTTGTGGTGAAGGTTGGTCTGAGAGGAAGTGGTTTGTTCAAAGTCATCTAGTGACCTCTATGAAGCACTACGCCACAATACTGTGCAGTTTTTCACAACTCTTTAAAGGGGGTTGGTTGATTAGTTGGTTGGTTGGTTGGTTTAAAGGATATTTTTTCCCTTCTGGTCTTTATATATTCCAGTGGCCTGTGCCTAAAAAAACCCCCTCTTATCTTCCTTACAATCCTTAGAACACAAACATCAAAGTGGAAGATGTCCGAATACGAGCTGTCTTTTCAGCCTCTCGCAAACGCATCCCTGTAACGGAGGGTTACGTGGAGATCAAAGAAGGTGGCACTTGGAAGCAGATCTGCGACAAAAACTGGAGCACCAAAAACTCCCGTGTTGTTTGCGGCATGTTTGGCTTTCCAACAGAGAAGAAATACAACATCAGGGCCTACAAGTAAGAGGAACTTTTCAAAGGGTTGGTTACCGTCTTGAACTTCAAGAATGCAATGCAGAGGCAGATCTGTTTGGAACCAGCCATTTCCAAACGGGAGTTGGAAAAATTCTGGTAGTTTCTGTGTGTTTTGTTGTCAATGTCTGAAGGGCTTCAACTCTTAATTTCCTTCATCGCTTTTGACAAAAAGAGGCCTTCGGACAGCTGTAAAGCATATTCTCTTGAGCAATAATTTGAACAGTTTGTCCTGTCCAAAGTTAGAGGGAGGTCTGAGGGTACCAAGTTTCAGCTTCCCATGCTTGCTCTTCAAGTTTCCATGAAGGATTTTTTTTTCCTAGAGTTTCTTCTTTGCAGGATTTCATTGACCACATTTCAGATACTTGTTGGTGAAAAATAATGAAAGTAAAAGAAAGGAGGAAGCTTTAAGGAATGGAATCCTTAACTAGCAGCTCACAGTAATTTCTTAAGTCCATCCTAGGGTTTTATGTATAATATATTTACACTTCATTGGTATGGAAGTGATTCTAGATGGCCTGGCATGTTTTGTTTTACACGTGGGGGATAAACAATCACATGTCTACAACAGTGTTCGGGCTTTCTTGAGGTCTCTAATCTCCATCCTGCATATGTCTCTAGCTTCATGTGAACTGGTTGCTGCTTTATGTGGGGGTGGAATGGCCTGCTTAACTGCTCACTCAGAATAAATCTGGTTATCTGCTCTGTAAGTTGAATCACAACTGCCTGTCCTGAGGGAATGGGCTTTGGGCTTGGTGACTCAGTCTTTCCTCTCTTCAGTGGGGTCACATCGGTCAGCTGAAAGTAGGAAAATGTCCTGTTCAGTGTGATTCATTTGTCTCCTTTTCTTCAGCCCAACAAATTCCCAGAGAAGCTCAGAAGGAGAAGCAGTTGCTTAAAAGTAAATGATCATCACCAATGATGATCTGAATTTTGATCACGTGACCGTGGGGATGCTGCATCGGTCGTAAGTGTGAAAAACAATTAAGTCACTTTTTTCAGTGCTGTTGCAACTGTGAACAGTCGCTAAATGAACTGTTGTAAATCGAGGACTACCTGTATTGTATAATCCCAGGGGTATGCACTAATCTTATCATTCAACTCCCATGAAAGTTAAGGCCAAAACGTCCTTAAATAGGTTGACGGCTGGTGACTTCGTGAACATGCTCTGACGTTTTCTTCACTTCATGATGACCTAGTTTACCATTTCCATTTTCCAACCTATTTTTATTCTCCAGGCTGTACTACAGCTGTAAGGTTTCCTGACTTGACAATGTTTAGACATTTGGAATCAGCCAAGTTTGCTTAATTATCATCAGCTCCTGTAAACACGCATGCTTTGTGTCCTCTCTATTATATGTATCGTTTGCACAGTAATGTGGACTAAATCTTCTGTAGTTTTCCAACTGCACGCTGCAGGAGAGAGCAAAAGGGGCCTTCACTAGAAGCAAAGAAGGGCAAGCAACCATTTACCCCTTTCCTGACCATCCTTAGCAGCTGACCCAAAGCTACTCAGCTTGAAAACCCAGCAAAGAAATGTATGAACTTCTCACTGTTGCGAGTCATCCAGTAGCATCCCCCTTGCTTCTTTCAGAAACCTGCCGTTGTGGATTTGAATGCAGATAGCCCTCGACTTACACAGTTCATTTAATGACTGTTGGAAGTTATGACAGCATCGAAAAAAGTAACTTATCATCCTTTTTCCAAACTTAATGACCGTTGTGGCATCCCCATGGTCACATGATCAAAATTCAGATGCTTGGCAGTTGACTCCTATTTATGACGGTTGCAGAGTCCCAGGATCACGTGATCCCCTTTTGTGACCTTCTAACAAGCAAAATCAACGGGGAAGCCAGATTTCAACTAAATGTGTGTCTAACTTAACAACTGCAGTGATTCACATTAACGATTGTGTCACAATGGCTGTGGTTCACTTCGCATCTCCGGCAAGAAAGGTTATGAAATGGGGCAGAATTCAGAATCATAGAATAAAAGAGTTGGAAGGGGCCTTGGAGGACTTCTAGTCCAACACCACTACCACCACCACCCCGCTCAGGCAGGAACCCCTAAAAACGTCCAGTGTTGGAGCATTCGCAACTTCTGGAGGCAGGTCATTCCACTGATTAATTGTTCTGCCAGGAAATTTCTCCTCCGTTCTAGGTTGGTTCTCTCTTTGATTAGTTGCGGCGATTCATTTAACAAATGTCTCACTTACCAACAGACATTTTGGGTATAATTGTGGTTGTAAGTCAAGGACTACTTCTTTAGTCAAGGGAAGGAAAGCTTCCATTCATGTCTTCTCCAGTCACTTGCATCCAGTTCTTTTTACATGTGACTCCAGAGGCCCGGTTAATCTGTTTTCTCATCCCTCTGGTCTCCTTCTACCCCGTGCCATCATAAATTGCTCTGCTCACAGAGTGGGATCTTCCACTGCCCTTGTGGTTCTGCAGCTGCGGAGCCAGTCTGCAGCCGAGGCTCTCTTCCAATAAGCTAGCTTCATGCTTCTGTCGGCGGTCTATGAAAAAAAGGGCAGATTTGCCTGCCAAGCTGACGTTTTCATTCCTTTTTAAATCTGACCACAGCATTTAGGTGCTGAGGTAACCCATGTGAAGCTGAGGAGCCTGGTGGGGGGGGGAGGGAGAAATGATTCACAGATGGGACCTTTTGCTAAAGCAAACAGCTTTGTTCATCCCAATCCTGGCTGCCAAACTTGCTGTTTGGAATGTCGTTTAATTTCTGCTTGCAGGACGATGTATGTTAAAGGGGGGGGAATCAAGCTGGAAAATCTGGCCATTTGCTTTTCTGCTGTTTTCCTGAGCTCAGTCAACCATGCAGAAAAGGGTAAGAATAGTCTTGCTGAATAGACTTAGGTCCATTAATACCACCAGCTCTGAATTGCTGGTGGTCAAGTACCCTTAGTCCTTGACTTATAAACGTTTGCTTAGTGACTGTTAGAAGGCCGTGGCTTCTGACATCCCAGAAGTAAAAAGGGGGTCTGGTTGGTCGAGAATGTAATATTTTTCTGAGCATTTTTCCCAGAGCATTTATATTCTTTTAGTCTTCTGATATTAGGGAATTGCATTTCCTCAGATTTCCAGTTGGGATGGCCGGTTTGGGGGAAAATGCCGCCATGTTGACTGACTCCATACACATTACGCTTAATTAGAACTTGGGTTTCAAGCACAGTAGTGTTTGCACATGATATTAAATGAAAACCAAGCAAATCGTGTAATATCTTAGCACATTGTGAGAAAGCATATTTTCTCTTCTCTGATATTCAGAAGCATTCTATTTGTGATCTAAAAGTTTTGGCTCCGTCATAGCTACTTGACTACCTGTGAGTCAATATTAAATATCTAAATTAGAAGGAGTTTGTATGTTTCACTCATAAATATAGTTGAATTCCAATATTATTTACAAGTTTGGACAAAAAAAAGATTGACTCACTGACTAACTTACAACTGGAAATTGGATAGGGATTTTTTTTTAGCATGACACAACTGAACTAATTTAGAAGTTTCCCTTAACTTTCATAACCCCTAAACCGCATTTTGTATTGCTTTTTAATCATTTTTTTAAAAATAAATGTTATAAATCATTTAATACGGACAAAGAATTTATAGAAGGTGTACAGTTAATGTTCAGCATAATCTTGATGAAAATTAACTCTAAAAACAAAATACATGGTTGTTTTGGAAAAGGATTTTAGGACTCTTTGAATCTTGAAGCTGAGTGTCAAAGTCCACTATTTTGTTATTTAGAAATATCAATTTTAAAAAAGGGAAATTACTAAAACTTTAAGTAGTTAGTGTCCAAGTTCCCTTTTAGATATTCCAACTGATATATGTTTTTAAACATTTAAAAAATTTTCACGTATTTCTGATTTAAGTTCTCTGATTTATTCTTTATTCTGCAATAAGACTTTACTAAAATGCTCCCTATGAGTCAAGAATGCTCAGCTTGTTGATAGTCTGTGAGAATGGCCTTGAGAGACTGGATTAGGAGAAGGAGCAGAAGTCTAGGCAATGGACAGATAAGAGCCAGCTAAGCTAGGGGTCTAGCATATATAAGATGATCAAAGGCCTGGAGGCTAAAAGATATGAAGAACAGCTGCGGGACTTGGGTTTGGCTAGTCTAAAGAAAATAAGAAATAGGGGAGACATGATAGCAGTGTTCCAGTATTTGAGGGGCTGCCACAAGGCAGAGGGGGCCAGGTTGTTCACCAGAGCACCAGAGGGAAGGACAAGAAACAATGATTGGAAACTGATCAAGGAGAGAAGCAACCTGGATTTAAGGAGAAACTTCCTGACAGTGAGGACAATCAACCAGTGGAACAGCTTGCCCCCAGAAATCATGAGCGCCCCATCACTGGAGATCTTTAAGAAAAGATTAGCCAATCACCTGTTTGAGATGGTGTAGTTTCTCCTGCTTAAGTGGGGGGCTGGACTAGAAGACCTCCAAGGTCCCTTCCAGCTCTATTCTATTCTATTCTATTCTATTCTATTCTATTCTATTCTATATGTCTCAGAAAGACCCTCCCAAGTTCCTTGGACCGTAAAGTCGAGGGAAGAGAGATGTATTTTTTAGATTTGCAGGAGCCTGTTAATGTAACCTTACAATAAAGGTAGTGTTAGTAATCATTGGTGATGCTTGCACTACGTCTAAGTCTGCCAACCTATAATATTGATGCCATATTTAATTCTTTGGGTAATTTCAAAATCACCAAAGTGGATTTTATGTACAGGTTCTAAATTAAGGCCATCTTATTTCCTTCCGTAACAAAACAGTTGTTGGTTTTGACGAATGGTAATCCAACATGATTTATTCCCCTCTCTCGTATCCAGGAATTGTATGAAAGATTGCCACAGAGACTGTGGGCAGAGCTCATGTGTTCCTTTCAAATGGTTCCTATTAATCTTTTGAGCCTCCCAAAGTGGTTGACAGTCTTTTACTGGATTTCTCTTCCAGACAACCTATTTGGAGATCTGGCTTGTGTTTTCCCAGACTAGTGGAAAAGCAAAGTTGGTGTCTCTCTTTTCTTCTAGTCTTATCTGAAGGGCTTGGAAGGTGTGGAAGGAAATGATTGCCTAAATTATCCCTAACGTGTCACAACCTCTTTATCTTTACCCCTTGAACGTAATCCTTGAGGGCTTCAGCAGTGAGGCCATAAAAGGTTCTGTTCCGAACTAGCAGATAAACCAAAGGGATTGTTCCTCAACTGATTGTTTTTCTCCCATCAAAATAGACGCTATGGTTCATTAGCTAATCCTAGAGGAAGAACAGGGAAGCCCTGTTTACAAGCCCTCAACTTATAACACCTTGTTTAGTGACCGTTCCAAGTTACAACACCCCTGAAAAAAGTGACTTAGGACCGTTTTTCACACTTATGCCCATTGCAGCGTCCCCATAATTACATGATCAAAATTCAGATACTTGGCAACTGACATGTACTTATGACGGTTGCAGTGTCCTGGAACCATGTGATCCCCTTTTGCGACTTTCTGACAAGCAAAGTCAATGGGGAAGCCGGATTCACTTAACAACTGTGTTTCTGACTTAACAACTGCAGGGATCCACTTAGCAACTGTAGCAAGAAAGGTCGCAACATGGAGCAAAATTCAATTAACAGCTGTCTCACGTAACAATATAAATTTTGGGCTTAATTGTGGTCGTACGTCAAGGAGTAGCTGTATGAAATTTTTGTCTAGCCATAATGTGCATCGAGTAACTATCTTTGCGGTAGAGCTCGGTTGGTTTAACCCAGATTGTAAAAAGTATAGTTCACCAGCATCTACAGTAAACCGCTCCAGAATGTGAGGGCAAAAACATTCAACCCCTTAATTCTTTTCTGCATTTTGCTTTTCCAGGGAAAGGAACTAGGGATCAAGTAAATATCTTAGGGGAATTTAAAACACATCTCCAAAACCAGATTCTGGTGTAGGGGAGAAGGGATATCGCTTGCCAGGGTGAACTTGTCACCGCCAATTCGCTGCAGCCAACTTGCTGTGGGACAATTCAACAATTCGATGTAATGATTTAAAATATTTTAAAAATTATTTTAATTTTTGTCCTTCCCATTTCGTATAATGATTCTATTCCGCTATTCCTTCGATATTAGGGTAACCCTTGCCCGGTGGTAAGTTGTTCCATGGCAAGGTGGCCATGGTGAGTTGTTGTAGACCCTATTATGCTTGCCTGCTTGGTTGTGTGAACTCCTCTAGCCTGGATGCGAAGATGTCCTGGCCTCCATGCTTCCGGTCAGTGACAGATCTTCTCCATTCTTATCTTAGCGGTGAGTTCTTAACCATTGCAGTATTCTTCCTTCTCTTCCAGGACATCAGCAAGCAAAAGAAAGCATAAATACTGGGCTTATTCTGTGAATTGCAAAGGCACCGAATCACATCTCTTTAGTTGCAAAATGGGTGATCGGATTGTGACACTTGGTGGGAACGTTACCTGTGAGAATGGGATGCCTGCAGTGGTAAGCTGCAGCCCTGGACTAGCCTTCTCCCCTGGCAGCCACAGTGGCTTCGGCAAAGCTTTCCGTGTTCAGGTGAGTGGAAGAAATTCTCCTTGGTTTTACAAGGAAATTGAATTTTGCATGGAGTATACTGCTAGCTGTGAATTGGATTTGTTTGTATTGAATTCACAAACCTTTGCATTTCAAATAATCTTAGGAAAAAATGTCAAATCTGCTAGACACTATGTAATCTCAGTATAGTTTACTCAAGTAAGTTTACTCAACTACTCCTTAGCTTCAAAATCTGCTCAGTCAGGACCAAATTCTATTGGGATAAAATATTCTAGCTAATCATGGATTCTTTGTCCATATATGGTCATTACTTACAGAACTATGAACATAACTGGCTAGAATCCAGTGATGGGATAAGCCACACATTAAGTTTGTACAAGATAGTATTCTTCACAATACTTTGTGATGTACTTCTTCTTCTTCTTCTTCTTCTTCTTCTTCTTCTTCTTCTTCTTCTTCTTCTTCTTCTTCTTCTTCTTCTTCTTCTTCTTCTTCTTCTTCTTCTTCTTCTTCCTTCTTCTCTTCTCCTCCTCTTCCTCCTCTTCTCCTTCTCTCCTCTTTTTGATTATGCCTTGTACAGTATGGAATTCTTAAATAAGATTACCACATTAAAAAAAAAACATTGTGAAGGGTAGGATACATTTTAGAGCCAGTCATAACCAAGCTTTTCTCCAATTCCAAATAATTTATAGTGCCCCAAACACTCTCTCCGCTGCAGATTCTAATTTTCCAAAGTTCAACATTCCAAGGCATACATGTATATTTCCTGCTCCTCCTCAAGGAACACTAACAATATTTTCAAGGCACTGCCATCATGTTTAAAACACTGCATTTATTTTTCAAGCACAGTTGCTCAGTTGCTCGTGTTTACCTGGAAAATGCTAAGAATTATATTCTGCAGAGCCTTATTTATAATTTTCCCCTGCTTTAACACAGAACGTTTCAGAACTGCACAAATTTCATTTATCGCTGGAAGGGGTGAAGCACTTGGCAAAATGTCGCCTAATTCTTGTTCCAAATTCTTTTGTTCACGCCAACTGACTGTTGCTTTGTGTTCTTCCAAACAGACAACTTTCCTATTATGTAAATGATAGTGTGGACAGTTGTGCATTAGAATTCCTGAACTTTATGTAAGAGTGGATTTGCAGCTTATTAGCACACTGTGACAGCAAAAGAAAGACGAGTAAGACTTATTTGTTTTTAATATAGAATGGATAGTTGATGCTGCCAACTATTTCTGAGTTAGCACCATTTTTGGCAGATCTTCACTCATATTTAAAAAGCTGAAAATTGCCACGTATGATTTCTTAAGTTGGTAACAAAAATAGTGATCACGGCATAGACTTAATGGTACCATTTAGGTTGGCTGGATCTGGAATTATGAACCAACTGAAAGATTCCAGACTAAGACATTATATTAGATCCTGATTCTTATTCTATATAACCTGATTCTTATTATATATAAATATAAATACAATTCTTTACCCGGAGACCCTTATTCTTGCTATTAATAAGGTCTTGAGATTCCAATCTGATGCTTGTGTCGGTGGATCTAACAAAGTATTCAGGTTTGTGATAAGGCAAGGCAAGGAAAGGAAAGGCAATTCATGGCAAAAAAACCATGAAAAATGGGGTGTGAAATCACTTAATGTCTGCACTACTTAGTGATGGAAGTTCTGGTCCCACTTCTGACCGTACGTCAAGTTCTGTCTTTATGCTATCTGTGATTTGTGCCAGAAGGTGCATTGATGTGGATGAGTTGGCTTAAAGACATACGACCAAATAAGCAAAAATTGCCTCTGACGATGACGTTCCTAAGTGACAAAGATTTTCCCATTCTTTTTTAGCACCTTCTGGTGAGGCTAAAGGGTGGAGCCCAGGTTGGAGAAGGCCGCCTTGAAGTGTTGATGAATGGGGAGTGGGGAACCATTTGTGATGACGGGTGGGACTTACGTCACGCCAGCGTGGCCTGCCGAGAATTGGGCTTCGGAACCGCCAAGGAGGCTATCTTGGGTGCAAGACTTGGACAAGGTAAGATGTTTAAAATTAGGCGATGATGATGATAATGATGATGATGATGATGATGATGTTGGAAGGGACCTTGAAGGTCATCTAGGCCAATCCCCTGCTCAGGCAGGAAACCCTATATCATTTTGGACAAATGGCTATCCAGTCTCTTCTTAAAAACTTCCAGTGCTGGAGCATTCACTGCTTCTGGAGGCAGGTTGTTCCACTGGTTAATTGGTTGCTTCTCTCCTTGATTAAGTTTCCATCCGTTGCTTCTTGTCCTGCCTTCAGGGGCTTTGGAGAATAGCTTAACTCCCTCTTTTTTGGGGCAGCCCCTGAGATATTGGAACACTGCTATCATGTCGCTCCTCGTCCTTCTCTTCATACCTAATTCCAGCAACCATTCCTTAAAGGATGAAAGGGTAATGAAGATGGAGAGGCCAAGAGCTGACCCCATCCCATAATCCGATTATTAACATCTTCCGGTTCAGGAAGGGATTACTTGATAGGCAAAACAATCTGTCTAACTCTTCGGAAAGCTGATATAACTAAGAATGGCATCTCAAAAGAGGGAGGAAATATTCTATAAAGTTTAAGTTTCTTTTTTTAAATATATTTATTTTGTTTTATCAACAAAACTAAAATACAAAACAGAAAAACACACACACACAAATTACATCCCGCGCTAATAACAACAAAAAAGAAAGAAGATTGCCGTTTTTAAAAAGGGGGGAGGGGAAAGACCCAAGTATCAAATAAATTTAACATTAAACATATAGAATTCACCCCCAGGTGAATGCTGGAAAAAAAAAACCTGCCATGGTAGCATCAAAGCAATGTTCATGGCATAAAATCTAAATAAGCAGTGAAGTAACTCCAAAATGGTGTGGTTTGGGGAAAGAAAAGGAAAATAATTTACGTATGAGACATACTGCAGTTCTCTGGAATCTTAAAAATGTGAGCTTACAGCCAAATGGCGCACAGAGGGCTCTAATATATATTTAATTGTGGTTACCGCTACGGAAGTGCTAGCATCACATGAAAAACCCCCTCCTTGCAACGTGATGGGGCTAGAGCAGGTTGGCACATTACACAAGCAGAAGCTAGACATTTTGAAAGACTGCTCCGGTGTTGTGTTTCCTTTACTGAAAATTGGCAATTATTAGGAAAAATAACTAGCGTTTCTTGGAAGTGTATTAATAAAGATGATTAAGGGACTGAAGGTTAAAGCATATGAAGAACAGTTGCAGGAACTGAGTTTGTTTAGTCTAGTGAAGAGAAGGGTTAGGTGTGGCATGATAGCAGTGCTCCAGTACTCAGGGACTGTCACAGAGAAGAGGGTCAACCTATTCTCCAAAACACCTGAAGGCAAGACAAGAAGCAACGGATGGAAACTAAGCAAGGAGAGAATTGTCCTAGAACTAAGGAGAAATTTCCTGAAAGTGAGAACAATTAAGCAGTGGAACGGCTTGCCTTCAGAAGTTGTGGATGCTCCATTACTGGAGGTTTTAAAAAAGAAATTGGAAAGCCATTGGTCTAAAATGGTATAAGGTCTCTTGCTTGAGCAGGGGGTTGGACTAGAAGACCTCCATGGTCCCTTCCAACTCTGTTAAAAAGTGATTAAAGCAGAAGGTACCACCTCTAGCAAAATATGTTTGCATTTTATTTTTCTATCTGCTTTAGAAAAAAAAATATTGTTTGGGAAAATGTAGATGACTGCTTAATGAGAACAGCAACAAAACTAACTTTTTTCCATCTAAACTTTGTCCTTGAAATTTGGGGAAACCACGAAAGGTCTTTCAGTTTAATTAGATACTAGTCTATTCAAGCATACAGAGTAGCCTGAATGGGCCCACAACTGTTTTACAGTATTAACCTTCAACAATAAGAATAATAAGGTAGGATACTACTATGACAGTTGGATTAATTGCATGGGATCTTGGCTATAACATGATCCTAAAATTTCTCTGGTGCCTAGATACTGAAACTAAACTACTACTATATGTACTGTACCCTTGAAAAGGGCACAGAAACTGTAGAGTGTAGCAGCTACGTTCCCAATCAGTGCAAGAGTCACATATGTTTACATCAAAATATCAATGCCGATTGCCAGTTGTTTATCAAATATAATTTTATTTATCCGATTTCTATAGCCATCCATCTCAATCCAATTACTCTACAACTGACTCTGAAATTGACTAATTCTAGTTCTTGATATTGGCATTGACTTCAGGGTCTGATTATCTAAAGAACTGCCTTTCCCACTGGAAACCTCCCCCAATACTAAGATCAGCAGAAAAGATCCTTTTGATGTTGCCACTGCTCTCAGAAACCCAAAGTTCTAGCAAAGAGGTTTTGAAATATACTCCCTTAAGGATTATACTTGACCCCCACTCTCTCAGTGTGTAGAAAATCTGTAAAGACAAAGCTATTTTGCCAGTCTTGCAATAGTTAAATAATTTGATGTAGGAGAAGGAGAGGCAGAACTTGAGATGGAGTCAAGAGAGGAATCAGCCAGGAGTCATTACGTTGCCACAAGCAATCCAACTCCAGCCCCTCTTGAATTCCACTAATTTAGTGTTGACCATCAGTTGACTAGATTCTTGCGTGTAAGTATGAGCAATAAATCAGCTTTACCTGGAACTTAACATGCAGTCAGTGGTGGGATTCAGCCAGTTCGCACCACTTCGGCAGAAGCGGTAGCTAATTTTTTGTTGCCCAGGCCCAGAATGGACTTCTGGAAGCGGCATCCACACAGAGAGCCAGCTGTTCACCTATTTGAATCCCATCACTGCTGCAGTCCTGATTCTTCAATCCTGATATTTTAGGATCTACTGATTTTAATCAATTTTAGTTTTTAGATTCTGTGTTTGATTTTTGGCTTTGGTTTCTTCTGCCTTGAATACGTGCTGCTATAGAAAAGTAGGGTGTAAAAGACAGACTGTCTTATCTCATGCCCCCCCTTAGAATCCAGTTCTATCTTTTGAGCTTATTGGGAGTACTTAATAAGCATGCATAATATCAGATACTTACTGGAGAAAGGGGATGAACATTTATCTATGTATTTATTTACGTAATTATAGGCTGTCTAGCTGTATCCCAACTTTGTGCTCAGCATGAAACAATTGAAAAGAGTATAATGCAAAACAATTCAAAACAAATGTGTGGGAAAACAATACCATCTCTCCTAGACTGACATCCCATCAGAGGTTGTGACATAAAAAGTAGATTTTCAGAGCTCGTTTCAATGGGGTTGCATTACAAAGGGGAGCACAAGCTCTTCTACAGGACGCAACATTTTTCGTTATTTTGTAGTGTCATGATGCCCATTTAAGTTCAAAGATTACTTGAACATCCTTTTATAACCCTCTTTTTTCTTACAAAAGTAAAAATAACGTTAGAATTTTTCCAACAACCCATGTTTATTTGAGATTTTTTTTTGTTTTTCTGTTGTTCTGCAAAAGAATTATCTTTATCCCTACTGAAATATTAAGAGTTATAGGCAAAGATGGTCAGAAATGCCAGTGGCATATTTTGCTCCCAATTCTCCAAATGAAATTTAAGAAATGACGGAGAAATGGAAATTTGGCCTTTGTTCTGTTCTCTAACTAATGAAAGAAAGAAAAATACTGGAAACAGTAGCTCATAGAATAAAAACAAAATTAACTGCAGAAAGGCTTTATTAAAGCCCTGGATATTTTTTTAACTCAGAAGTCTCCTGGACCTCTGTCTGGATTTGGGGGAATTTGTGGAGTTGAGATGTCCAAGCTAGGAATGGTTCCACGGGCGCTTTTTTTTCCTCAAAAGGCAACTGGACTTTCTTGGTTTTTGAAAACATTTACCTTCTCATCCAAGAAGCTTCTTCAGCAGAATTGAGAATCTCCATAGACAGTCGATGAATTCTGTAATGCACTTTCCTGATCTGATTTTCTCCAGGAGCAGTGATACTCTTAGGACAGGTCTCTAGGAGAGAAAGTTCTATTAGGTAGAATGAAAAAGCAGGAGGAAACGACAACAACATTGGCGTATCACATTTCATGAAGTCATCTATTTTATTCTCTGAAAGGGGTGGGGGATTGTAAGATCTACACATTTCCTGAGTAACTATGTGAATTTATGTTGACTTTAACTACTATGGTCACCAAATTGGGGTAGTTTCCATCAGAACATGTCAAATATGCAGCAGACTTCCCTCTTGTTGTGGGGAAATGAGCTTGTGAGCGTCCCTTCCTTTTTAAAGGCATTGGTCCCATCCATCTCAACGAAGTGGACTGCACAGGGTTTGAAAAGTCTATTACAGACTGTAAATTCAGCAAGGAGATCAGGAGCTGCACCCATGAAGAAGATGCTGGTGTGAGATGCAACATCCCAGCAATGGGCTTCCAAAACCAGGTGAGATAATTGGCACCTTCCATAATGGGAGAATGGTTGTTCTCCTTCTCCTTTTCTTCTTCTTTTCTCCTTCTCCTTCTTTCTCCTCCCCCTCCCCCTCCTGCTTCTGTAGAATGCACTATGTGCTTTATCTTAAGAGCTGGAGCATAGAAATATCATTTCTTACTTTTTTTTCCCTCTTGACCTCCAGATCAAGAGACCACCAACAAAGATACTGCTTTGGAAATTATTGGTTTACTTTGTTCCAGCCACAGTCTCATCACTGGAGGTTTTTAAGAAGACAGTAGACAGTCACTTGTCTGAAATGATATAGGTTGTCCTGCTTGAGCAGGGGGCTGGATTAGAAGACCTCCAAGATCCCTTCAACCTCTACTCTACTCTACTCTGCTCTGCTCTACTCTACTCTACTCTATTCTATTTACTATTCTATTCTATTCTATTCTATTCTATTCTATTCTATTATATTCTATTCTATTCTATTCTATTCTATTCTATACCAACCCACCTCACATTGTTGTTAGTGCAAGAACATAATGAGGAGAGTTGACCCAAAGGTGCTTTTTCCAAAAGGCAACTGGACTTTCTTGATTTTTTTCTTTGAAAACATTTTGCATTTCCTTCAAGAGGTTCTTCGGTTCTGAGAAGAACTTCAGTTCAGAACCAAAGAAGCTGGTTGGATGAGAAGCAGAATATTTTCAAAGAAAAAACCAAGAATGTGCAATTGCCTTTTGGAAAAGGCACTTTTGGGACAACCATGGCCCGGAGGATTGAGATAATGAGGAGAATCAATTGCTATAATAGCAGTGAGAGTAGAAGTGGTGGTCTTCTTCTGGACCAGTCTTGCCATCAGACAGAGCAAAGGAGCTCAGTTCGTTTGATGCAACTTGTTTTTATGTCTTGGTAGCCTGATCACTGCTTGTGATGTCAGCTACTCAGCCATGGGGTCAAACTCAACTATGAGCACATTGTCATATTTTTAAACCCACGGGCAAACAGAGCTAAAACCGTGTATAGTGCAGCACACACAAACAGATGTTAGAGGACCAAAATCACAAACAAGCTCCTCAAATAGCTGCCGTGACCTGAAAAGGGTCATATGAATCAGAGTTTTGAATACTTCTTAAAATGTTTACTGAATTTTGGGTTTTCAACAGAAGGAGCTTTTCCTCAACCTTCCAAATTGAGGTCATCTTCAGACTGCTGGCTCAAAGTCTCTACTGGCAGGCAGTTCAGTGAATTTGTAAGATTTACATCCCAGGATTTGGCCAAACTCCACATGTTCCATTCAGTTTAACATCTGTGTTCTTTTAAAATCCATGGGCTCAATATAATTTGAGAAACATCCTAGCCTTTCTCCAAATAATTTGCTTCACAGTTTTTAACCAAGTGTCTTCCTAATACTTCCTTTAAAACAATTGCTCCATCTTAAATATCAGTTTGGATTTAATGTCAGACACTGTGAATTATAATTCAGGCTAGAGTAGAACTCTTCTCGACTGAATAAACATAGTACATTGTTGTCAAGAACTGGTAGAAAACAAAAATGAGTTCTTATTCCCCCAGGTAAAATTGCTCATGTCTCAATATTACACAAGTATCCTTCGTTAATATGATCTTCGGAGGTTCCTGGGAAAACCTGTGTACAATCAAATCAAGCATAGCCTGATATAACCTCTGTAGGATGTAGGATATATCTATATCAAGTTGGATAGCCTATATGTAAAAATTATGTTGAAGTTCTGGACTTCCAAGAATAAGACGAGATAGGCTGATGTTATGGTGGGTTATCGTACATTATGGATTATTTAAGATCATCTTAATGGACTTAGGAGTAGAAGGCTAGAGTTTTTCTACTAGGATTTAGTCTAGCCAAGATCTTGCCAGGAATTCTCTCTAATGAAGAGAAGGGAGAGGGGGGACATGATAGCAGAGTTCCAATATCTTAGGGGCTGCCACAAAGAAGAGGGAGTCAAGCTATTCTCCAAAGCACTTGAAGGCAGGACAAGAAGCAATGGAGGGAAACTAACCAAAGAGAGAAGCAACCTAGAACTAAGGAGAAACTTCCTGACAGTTAGAACAATTAACCAGTGGAACAACCTACCTCCAGAAGCGGTGAATGCTCCAACACTGGAAGTTTTAAAGAAGAGACTGGACAGCCCTCTGTCCGAAATGGTGTATGGTTTCCTGCCTGCCTGAGCAGGGGGTTGGACTCGATGACCTCCAAGGTCCCTTCCAACATTATTATTATTATTGTTGTTGTTGTTATTTTGGGAGTAATAATCTGAAAATATTTCATGAGTACCAGGTACTCAGGTACCAGTACCAGATACCAGTACCAGATATTACACCAAGTATCATCGTTAGACTACAGTTATTATTATTCAAAGACCTCTGAGCCAATTTGGTATAACCAGTTTGGTGTAGTGGTTGAAGTGCCATCCTAGAAACCAGGAGGCTGTGAGTTCTAGTTCCACTTTAGGCATGAAAATGTGCTGAGTGACTTTGAGACTATCTATCTATCTATCTATCTATTTATCTATCTATCTATCTATCTATCTATCTATCTATCTATCTCAAAATAAAAAATGAATTATGAATAATTTTTCGTCCTTGGCTCATGATATCATCTTAATCATGCTGATGGAGGATATTGTTGGGCAGCAAGTCAAAACGTGCAGGTAGCGTGAGCTATGTCAATGTGATGCTTTTTTCTGCAATGCGGTTTTTAAAAATGAGCAGAGTTTAAGCCATCTAAGTTATTTCCAACTCAACGGGAGGCAATCCACATTCAAAATATAAATATTTGTAAATAAATAAATAAATAAATAAAAGCCAGCCCGATAATTTCGGTAAACTGACTTGCCAAGCGTGTCTTTGTTGCATGACTAGTTTCCCCAGCCTCTCTCTCATCTATGAGTAGAAAATGCAATTTTCTGTCTCTTTCATTGGCGTCTGATGATCCCCATAACTTTCATTAACTCTCAATTATCCTCTGCAGGTACGCTTGAGTGGTGGCCGCACTCCTTACGAAGGCCGTGTGGAAGTTCTCCAGGAGCGCAATGGCACGCTCATATGGGGGTCCATCTGTGGTGAAGGATGGGATATAATGGACGCCATGGTGGTTTGTCGCCAGCTGAACCTTGGCTATGCTAGCCATGCATTCCAGGTACAGCATTGTTTTAATTCCACAAGTGCAAACAAATGCTCAGTGTTATTCATGGCTCTTCAGAATTCAGAAGCTCTTATTTAAAGAAATAATAATAATAATAATAATAATAATAATAATAATAATAATAATAATAATAATAATAATAAAGTTGGAAGGGACCTTGAAGGTCATCAAGTCCAACCCCCTGCTCAGGCAGGTAACCCTATGCCATTTTGGACAAATGGCTGTCCAGTTTCTTCTTAAAAACTTCCAGTGTTGGAGCATTCACCCCTTCTGGAGGCAGGTTGTTCCACTGGTTAATTGTTTTAACTGTCAGTTCTAGGTTGCTTCTCTCTTTGGTTAATTTCCATCCATTGCTTCTTGTCCTGCCTTCAGGCGCTTTGGAAAATAGCTTGACTCCCTCTTCTTTGGGGCAGCCCCTGAGATATTGGAAGGCTGCTATCATGTCCCCCCTCGTCCTTCTCTTTGTTAAACTAGACATACCCAATTCTAGCAACCGTTCCTTGTATGTTTTAGCCTCCAGTCCCCTAATCATCTTTGTTGCTCTTCTCTGTACTCTTTCCAGAGTCTCAACATCTTTCTTACATCGTGGTGACCAAAACTGGATGCAGTATTCCAAGTATGGCCTTACCAAGGCATTGTAAAGTGGTATTAATACTTCACGTGATCTTGATTCTATCCCTCTGTTCTTTGAGTGCTCAGGCCAGGATTTACTGAATTCCAATTTACAACATACAAATTCCTTGGGTTTTTTTGCATCATATAGGACTTTTTTCTGTGTCTGCTTCCCTCTGCGTTAGCCTTCTTTCTCCATAACCCCATGTTTCCGTGCATTCTACTTCCTTTCTTCCTTTCCTGTCTCCTTTAAAAAGATATGAAGGAAGGCTGGGAAAAAAAAATCATGGGTGGCCTTCTTTTGCGTCACATGAAACTGGGGTGCAACTTGAAGCTATCCAAGAAAGATCTTTTTACTGCCCAGAATAACCAAGAGCTACATTTACCAGTCAAAGATCAGTAACATGAAGAAGATGAATTGTGATAGAAATGGGATGAATTAGATACTAAATGACACTGTTTCTTTTGTAGAAGCTGAGTATAATTTGAGGCTCCACTTAATGTTCCAATATTTATTTTTGGAGCACTGTAGCACATAAGCACAAGGATGGCTTCGGGATACCAGATCAAAAATCCACCCGGTCCCATGTTTTTATTAGTGGTCACGGAGATACTTCCAACAAAGAATGAGGACGACAGTCTACTTTGATCATTAGTCCTTGGTTATACGAAGGCTCCAATTCACCATATTTTGCCCTCATCAGCTAGTCACACCCTTCAGGGATTTGAATCCGGGCAGCTTGCATGTTAGGCAGCTGTATTACCCTTTTGAGCCAGAGGTTCCCCCTTACTCCTGTCAGCAGAAACCAGGGAGGATATATATCTTATATGTTGGGTGAGGCACAGTCTACCAAATATAAAGCAGTCTGTTCTGCAAGTTGCCCAGGTTCAAATCCCTGAAAAGGTATGACTAGCTGATGAGGGCAAATGAACCTGAAATAGCTATACTAGTCTCCCACTAACTCTTTGCCAGCCACAAATTTTGAATTTATAGATGGATGGATGGATGGATGGATGGGTAGGTAGGTAGGTAGAAAGGTAGAAAGGGTGGGTGGGTGAGTGAGTGAGTGAGTGAGTGAGTGATAAATAAATTGGTGGCAGGAATGAGAGAGCGCATCAGTTTCATAGGAAAATGGCTCTCTGAAGAAAATGTTTTTTCATGAGGATCTCAATGCTCCACCTTTGACTTGTTGCAACTCATTTCATCTCCTCCTTCAGCCTTTCCCCAGGAAATAGGTTGGGCCGGCACACAAGAGGTCTATTTATTTTCTTGTACAGCAGCCAATTTTCGGTTCAGAAGGTAAGGACTACTATGACCACCCAATGCCCCCGTTTCCAATCTTTCTGCTTTGTTGACATTAGCAGCCCTTATGCTGTTTGATGGAAGAAGGCATTTCCTTGCCCTGGATCTACTCATTTTGGGAACTGAGGTCCTTGTGTTTGCTCCAGGCTGGGCCCCCCCACCCCATGGAGCATACAGCCCCTCTGTGTATGTGGAGCAGACTTAACCCGTGGAGGTTTGCATACCAAGGAGCCATTTTTAATGAGGTTCTGCCAGTGTGTTGTGACTGATACAAGGAACGTCCTGTTGGTTAGGACCTTAGCAGCATTTTCCTTAGGTGGAATATGAAGAAGAGATTCTGAACACTGGATGGTCATTACTCATTTGCTGTTTTTTCTTGCCTGATTGTTATACATTTGATTATAGTGAAGTGTTAACACAGAGGTCTTCAAACTTGGCCCTTTTATGACTTGTGAACTTCAACTCCCAGAATTCCTCAGCCAGGCCTTCTGAACATCAACTTTTTCCTGTAAAATACAAGAAGCAGAGTCTACCTTGTAAAATACAAGAAGCAGAGTCTAACATTGTGGTTTCCTTCCTCGTTATTGTTAGGCTCTGACTCAGCCAATCCCTCGAGGCTTCTTTAACAAGATTTATTGAAATGAAAGGGATAAAGTTGCATGGACGTCAGCAACTACGCTATTCCCAGTTTAGATGTATTCCCCAAAGTATTAGGGCAGGGATTTTCTGTGCTTCTATCTCACAAGCTTCTTTCCAACTGACCAGGAAGCAATTCTTTTCCCCCTGATAATGGAGCAGTTTGCAGGTGACTGTTTACAAAATCATCTCCTGAACTTTTTATCGTTTTGCCAGTCGACCATTGCAGTTGCTAGGATAGCTTGCTGATGACAAACAACTGCCAGCTGGAGGGAAGGTTTTGACAATATTCCATATTGTGAGTGCTGTGATATTTGTCCAGAATGTGCTACTGAGTCAGTTGCTCACATTTTTATGCTGCTCCCTCTTTATGATTACTGGCGTGCAGCCTTCATATATCCACTTCTTACTGGCTATGTTCTTTGGCCAGAACCTAGAAATTGTTCATGTTAATACTTTTAGACCTTTCATTGAAGATTTCCAGGAACATTGCCAAGTTCTGCTTCCATCATTAGTGCTATTGCAAAGTTTGAGGCTTAGCTTTGACTTTAGAGTGTTGTATGGACAAACTCAACCGTGCGAGAGCATTTGCTTCCATTTCCTTTGTTTTATTACATCTCGTAGGGTGCTTTGCTTTGCTTGCATTTGTTTTACTTAGGATTACTTCATGTCCTTTTGGGCCTTACCCATCAGGAAAGACTACACATCGATAAAGGAAGGCAGGAATTGCTTGCTCCAAAGTATACAGAAAACCTGAATTAGAATTAAATTTGAATTTGAATTAGAACCCTGGCCTTTAAATCAGGAATCCTTCTGACATGGATACCAGAAAAAATAATGGGACTGCTAGGCAATGAGCTGGTCATTAGGCCCCCAGGCTGGACAAAACAAAACTAAAATCCAGTGATTCCAGAGCTTACTGAAGTGGGAAAGGTGGTTTAAAACAGACTGCAATGCATCTATGCTTAATCACCTTCCCTTTTTTTGGTATTTCTTACTAGGAAACCTGGTACTGGTATGGAGACACTGGTGCAGACAATGTGGTCATGAGTGGGATGAAGTGCTCTGGGACAGAAATGGCTTTGTTCCACTGTCCTCATGATGCCAAGGTCACCTGTCCCAAGGGAGGTGGACGCTATGCAGCTGGTGTTTCCTGTACAGAAAGTAAGCTCTTCAGCTTCCTTTGCTCAAAATCACCACGGTTTATCTGAATCACAGTCAAGCGTGTCCGTGTTTTGAGTATTGTATCGGGTTAAACCAGGGTGAATGCTAACCTGACTGCCTTCCCTGTGAACTTTGGTTATTGTGACATAGTGAGCAAAACAAGAGGATAAAAGCATGATCCTTACTGTCAATTGATGTCTGCAGCTGCGGCGGATCTGGTTCTCAATGCCAAGGAGGTGGAACACACATCCTATCTGGAGGATCGCCCCATGCATGTGCTGCAGTGCGCCATGGAGGAGAATTGCCTGGCCTCCTCCGCGGTCAATACCTCGGTGTCCACTGGTCAAAGGAGACTCTTCCGTTTCTCCTCCCAGATCCATAACAATGGGCAGGCTGACTTCCGTCCCAAAACGGGCCGCCACGCTTGGATCTGGCATGAATGCCACAGGCAAGTCTTTCTTTCTGTCTTCACTTTTGTAGACTAGGAAGGACACAACTCATGGAGAGACATCACACGGACCTGCGAGAAAAAGGGTTCTTAGCGCGAGTTAAAATGCTGGTGGCCTTGGCCACTGGTTCCAAGTCAACCTCAACAAGCACAGGAGCACATTCCTGACCTGCTCACACAGCAGAAACAGAGCAGAAATATATAAACACAGCAGAAGTATAAATATATTATAATAGAGGTCATACAAATAGCAGTGATGCCCTAAAAGGTTTGGAAAACAACATAAACAAAAAGAGTATGAAACAGGTTGCAATGAACATCTCTTCTAAAAGGTGCCGTGTCTTTATAACCATCTGCTAAATCTAACTCAGGATGGGGGTATGTTGATGAAAGGAAGGCCAGACAGGATAAATAGGAGCAGATGGCTTTTCAAATCATCTTCCCTGAAGCTATTTAAACTTTTAAAGCTTAACTAAAGCTTTGAAGGAGGCCTCCCACCAAGTAAGTACTGTACCTGCAGCTGAATTACCTCCGTGGAGGTGAGCTCATTGTTTAGTTTGATCAAGGATATTGTGCAGCACCGCTGGATTACGTTTATTCCTAATTATGAACTGAGCTTCAAGAAAAGTAAATTCATTTCTGAGCAGGACAATTGCAACTTTTAGCAGGCACTAACCTCTGTGGAAACTGAGACTTGATTTATTGGCTTTGATCAATTCCGCTGAGCATTAATTTAAAAGACCTACGTCTCCTCTTTTTAAAGAGCTGTATCTTCTATATATTCTTGTCCCAATCTCTATATATCATCTTTCCCCCTCACGGCAAAGACTCAGAATCCCCTAAGGAATTTCTCAATGACAGGAATGGACTTGAGACTATCATGTCACATGAATTCAATTGTATTGTTGCTAACAACAGGATTCCTCCCAAAATGCATTCCATATGGTATTTATTTCCTTCTTCTAGACTAATGTCAACAAGCTGGATTTCATCCAGTAAATAAATAGTGACATTTGGGAGATACTTTCATCCAAATGAAAAGCATTTAGAGTTAACCAGTAGTAAATTTGGACAAGCAGTGGCTAGGCCCTAGGGCTTCCCGGTAGGCTAATATAGTACGTTAGTGAGAAAGGTATTCCCTGTATACATATGTGGTAGGGTAGATACCACAGTCATGATAATCTGCCATTCTGGCTTTGATTACAGAAAGAAAATGGCCGCATTCACCAGCCTTAACTATGATTTCCTACTAAATCACAGAGAGCCGAGTTCATCCATAGAAGAGAATAATTGTAGCTCAACGTTGAATTGTGGAGTCTTTGGTGCTCTCTGGGCTTGATAGTTCTCTTGCAGACATTTCATTACCCAACTAGGTTACATAATCAGTGCTGAGTTTACACAAGACATCAAATCTTCATTTGACAGCCTTCAGAAATCTGCTTTCTTTCTGGCTTCCACAGGCATTACCACAGCATGGAAGTCTTTGCTCACTATGATCTTCTGGATAGCAACTGGACTCAAGTTGCTGAAGGCCACAAAGCCAGCTTTTGCCTGGAGGACAGTGACTGCCTAGACGGTACATGGGTTCCTAATGTTGTTTCAATGCATTGCTAATATGTCGGTGACTGCTGATACTTTGAACTAGCTCTCCTTAATCCCCGGCTGTTTTCCCACTTAACATATGTCGAAGGCTGAGTCTTCACGGGGAGACTGTGAGCTGTTTGGTACCATTAAAATCAAATGGAGAATCAGCTTTCCACCGTCCATTGTTATCCAGCAATCCGGTTGAGGAATGCTTTCAGGGTCCAGGACATTCCTTGGAATAAGCCTTTAAAGATGATACTTTCCCCTTCAGAATGAAGAAAATACTAGCTCTAGGGCGGCAACCGGTCCTGTGGATGTAGGAAACTGCTCTGTTTTACATCAGAACAGTGGCCAGACTGATTTACTATATCTCTGTTGAAATGAGCAACATCTGAGGCTTCGCCCCACGAGCCTCCCTTCTGCCAAAGGTTTCCCCCCAAGTCAACTGGTATTGTGTACCTTCTTTTTGGAGATACCGTTGAACTGGGAATTTAATTCCATGATATGTCTATGGAGATTCTTAATCATCCAGCTCATGGTTATCCCAACGATTCTTTTTCCAAAAAGCAACTGAACTTGCTTGGTTTTTTTTTTTCCTTTGAAAATGTTCTCTTCTCATCCAAGAAGCTTCTTCAGTTCTTTCTTCAAAAACCAAGGAAGTCCAATTGCCTTTGGGAAGAAGCACCTTTGGGCTAATTACATGGTCTTCTTCGCCCTTCAGGAAGAAAAGAAAAAAGACACGACAGGCAAATTCCCATAACTTCTAAAAATGGGGGTCATCGGTCCTTGCACAGAAATGGCTGCCACCTTCCTCTTGGTGAGCTCATCGGAAGCCTGTCCATAGCTCACGTCTCTTATTGCTTACTTAGTTAAAACGCACATCAGGCCTTCCAAAACCTTGATACTATCTTTGTCCTGACTTCCTTCTCAGGTGTCCAGAAGCAATACGAGTGTGCAAATTTTGGGGAGCAAGGGATTTCTGTGGGATGCTATGATGTGTATCGGCATGATATTGATTGCCAGTGGATCGACGTTACGGATCTCAAACAAGGAGACTACATCTTACGGGTAAGCTGTGATTCCGCAAGTGAATGGTGACCACAGTTCTTGTTTGCAGAATATAAGCAACCCGGCCTCTCCCTTCACCAGCCAGCTGATTATCTTCATATGCTTGGAAGCATATCATCAGACTTAATGGAATCTGTTCTATGTTGGTCACATTGATGGACCTCTTAGCCCAGTGGTTCTCAACCTTTCTAATGCCGTGACCCCATAATACAGTTCCCCATGTTGTGGTGACCCCCAAGTGGGTGTGGCCACCAATAAGAGGGAGTAGGACAACTAGGGAAAAGGGAAAAAAATGGCGGACAGCCTTGTTTGGCGACCCCCGTGAAATGGTCGTTCGACCCTAAATGGGGTCCCGGCCCACAGGTTGAGAACCACTGTCTTAGCCATTACAAAGTGGGTTGAGCTGCGACATTCCTCCTGGCATTCTGCTTTGTCATTCACACCAGAGGGGAAAAAAGATTACGTGACATATCTCAGGGGCTGCCCCAAAGAAGAGGGAGTCAAGCTATTCTCCAAAGCCCCTGAAGGCAGGACAAGAAGCAACAGATGGAAACCAATCAAGGAGCGAAGCAACCTGGAACTAAGGAGAAATTTCCTGACATTTAGAACAATTAACCAATGGAACTGCTTGCCTCCAGAAGTTGTGGGTGCTCCAACGCTGGAAGCTTTTAAAAAGGGACTGAGCAACCATTTGTCCGAAATGGTATAGACTTTCCTGCCTGAGCAGGGGGTTGGACTAGAAGACCTCCAAGGTCCCTTCCAATTCTGTTATTATGTTCTATTCTAATCTGAATTGATGATACTTTGGATGAGCTCAGGAAGAATGTTAGCTCTTCGAGGTAGTCCAGACAAGTTGATGAGGGAAGCCTGATTTGCTTAACAACTGTGTGATTCGCTTAACAGATGCAGCAATCCACACACACAAAAAAAACCCTCATAAAACTAGGCTTGATCCACTTAATGACTGCCTTGCTTAGCAATGGGAATTTTGAGCCCAGTTGTGGTTATAAGCTAAGGACTACTTGTGGGTGACCCAATTGCAGTGGAGGGGATGGAAGGATATACAGTTTTAATGGCATTACTAAGCAGAATTTGAACAAGCCTGAATCTATAGCTTTGATCTTACATAAATGCTGCTCCTAAGGGAGATCTCTTAAGCCAGTGGTTCTCAACCTGTGGTCCGCAAACCCCTGGAGCGGGGGGCGTGATGTCACCACAGGGGGTCCGCCAAGGCTTGAAGAAATGTTATGATTTAAATCTTGAGTTAAATTTTGGGGGTCCATGGCCACAAAAGGTATTTAAAGGGGGTCCATGGTGAAGAAAATGTTGGGAACCACTGTCTTAGGCCGTTTTAGCTTCAGTAAATGCAAAGGTTGCATCAGTTTGTGCTAAAAAGAAACTGAAACCTTGCCTTTATATGTATGAGGGATAAAAAGAGAAAGGGCTTCAGCTGTATGATCAAACTAATTATTCTTACACACACACAATTAGGATTGTTATCTCCAATTAGATCACGCTGAAATTCCTGTCTCTTTACCCAGATCATTGTTAATCCAAACTTTGAAGTGGCAGAATCTGATTATTCCAACAATGTTATGCTATGTAACGTCAGGTATGGATTACAGCGTGTGTGGGTGTTCAACTGCCATATAGGTAAGTTTGGCTTTTGTTTTTCTTCTTTTGAACAACTATGGGATAAGCTTTGTATCAATAAAATAGTTCTCAGCTCTTCACAATCAGGAAACAGACTGTAGTAAGACTATCTTGAAAGCCTGACAAACTTTCTCCTCATTCTGTCTGTCTGTCTTTGTCTGTCTGTCTCTCTTTCTTTCTCTCTCTCTCTCATACTGAAGAGAATCAAGACAGAGCAGTCTTGAGTTTCTTTCTCACCCTACCTCTCTCAAGGCTATGCTGGTATTTATACAATTGCCCTCATGTTCCTTCTTTCAAGCTGTCTCTGTGGTCCTCTACAATAATTGAATAGCTTGTGTCAAAAAAGGGTAGGAAAAAGATTCTTATGTCATATTTTTACTTAAACATCCCATTCATTTCATTGCTCATGTGTTAAATTATACTTTAATTTAATACTAAATACTTTTGTGCTTGAATCAGAACCGGTTCATCGGTTTCTGAAACTCCCATTTAGATGGTCATTCTGGAATCCTGCAAGAGGTTTTTTTGCACATACCGGATAAATTTCCAGGAACCCCATCATGTTTCTAGAAGTCCCAAATGTCAGCTGGGAAATTCACCTGTTTTGAAAAGCAAAGTTAAAAATCAGCCTTATCTGGATATTTCCTCCTGGTTTTAACTGGAAACCCAAGTTGAACTTCTCCTGTTTTCAACTTGTGTTTTTCATCCAACTGATATAAATATCCAGGTGTAGCATTACCTCCAGTTTTTTTAAAAAAATTAAGAAATAAATAGAAATGTCACATTCAGTTGTACAATCTGTGTCAAAAGGCCAACACTTACAGCCTCTCCTCACCATTCTAGCAACCCACATAGGATGTTATTGCAGAACCTCAACTGAATTCAGTGGGTTTTTCTTTAGAATTCGTTTGCTGAATTTTGTTTTTATAACAAAAATGCATGACTATCGTTAAGTCAGGATGAAAGGTTTTTTTTATTAAGGGCCACATAATCTCCATTACAACCACTCAAAACCATCATTGCAGAAGCAGGCGGACTTTGAAATGGGCTGAGGTCCCTGATTCTTCCTTCAACAATACAGATAGTCCTTGACTTTACAACCATTTGTTTAGCGGTCTTTCAAAGTTACAACGGCATTGAAAAAAGTCATTTACAACCAGACCTCACACTCAAGAGGACTGTCGCAGCGTCCTTGTGTCACATGATCAAAATGATAATTGCAGCATCCCAGGGTCATGTGATTGCCGTTTGCAACCTTTCCCAGCTGGCTTCTGACCAGCAAAGTCAGTGGGGGAAGCTGGAGTTGCTTAATGACTGCATGATTCACTTAACAACTGCATTGATTTGTTTAATAACTGGAGCAAGAAAAAGGTCATAAAATTGGGTATGACTCATTTAACAATTGACTTGCTCAGCGATGGAAATTCTGTCCCCAGTTATGTTTGTAAGTTGAGGAAGACCTGTAGTTGGTGATGGTACAGTGGTTAGAATGCAGTACTGCAGACTAACTCTGCCGACTGCCACCTGTTCGATTCTAACCGGCTCAAGGCTGACTCAGCCTTCCATCCTTCCAAGGTCGGTAAAATGAGGACCCAGATTGTTGGGGGGCAATATGCTGATTCTGTAAACCGCTTAAGAGAGGGTTGTACAGCAGTGTGAAGCGGTATATAAGTCTAAGTGCTATTGCTGTTGCTGTTTTGCACATACAGTAGCTAACCAAGCCGACTCTGCCATTTGACTCTTTCTCTCTTTTCTCCCTTCTCACAGCCAACTCTTACTATGAGCCAGACCAGAAAGAATATTTCAGTGGACTTTGGAACAATCAGGTGTTTTAACTTTAGATCCTCATGGCTTTTCCTATGATTTCCCTAACCCCTGCTCGGAAAACTGAAGTATCAAGCAACCAACCATGAACGCTCATGTTAGCTCTGTAAGTTATTTTTCAAGGGTGTTACTCCAAACCTACTTTGCAATGTTTAGCAGCAGAAGACGCAACAGCAGACTCACATTTCACACCCGTTCCAAGAGAAGGAAGGTTTTGCACTAGCTGTATGACTTTGCTTCCCTCCAGGTACTTCAACAATTGCAAACTCTCATGCCCCCTTGGTCCACTGAAGGGGCATCTGACTGATAACTCAGCAAGGCGGTTTGGTGCTCAGAGTTACCTTTTTTGAGGACTTCTTTTTTCAGCCTTTGTAGTTGGTCTTGCAGACGTTCAAAAACCTGACTCTATGCCACTGGTGGGATGTCACCTTTCTTCATCTTAATCTGCTCACATCTCCAAGAACACGGGTGACATTTGATGTTGGGAGGGGGAAAAAAAGATGGAACTGTCAGTAGGGCAAGGAAAATATGATCATCCTAAGTTCCATCTTGGTTTTAAAAACCACTAGACTGTGAATTTTTTGAAACACAGTGAGCTGTTCATTTGCCCTGCCTTATCTTCCAATCCATGTCTTTTCCACCCATGTTACCCCACCCTTTTGTCATCCCATGAATATTAAGAAATACATCACGTATACCAAGTTTTTCCTACGATAGACCTCTCCCCTATTCATTACAGCAAGCTATTCTACAATATCTTTTAAGAAAAAAAAATGAATTTCTTAGGACACACTTTACACGGGAGTCCTTGGGGGGAATTCCAAAAATCAAGATGGCTACTCCCAGCTGTGTGATTGCAGCCATCTTTACTTTTTGACGACAACCCCTGCATTAGTAAATGTACGATGGTGCTAAGCACATTTGCCTCTGTTGGTTTGAGGACATGCATTACTGCAGAAAACCATTCCTACTTGAATATTCTTTTTTTTTTTAAGTAAAGGCCTTTACCCAGTTTGTATACAGTACTTTCAAAGGAAAAAACAACCCACGAGGTTCCAATTTTCTTATTTTTACTATCCTATACAAAAGAGGGAACTGCAAAATCAAGCTATATTTGCCGCAGTGGATCAGAATACCATATCCAGCATTTTGTTTCTAAAATAATAATAATCAGTGAAATGTTTTTGGAGGCTCAAAAAGGCGAATGTGGACTTTATCTATTGTTTCTTTTAAGCATCAGTGGCTAAGGGTAGATTGTCTCTGGCCGTGGATGTTACTAGGTATTGCTACATCAAGACTTTCAACCCATCATATTTGGGGACCATAACAGAGAAGGAATTCAATGTATCTAAACTGTAAAGAGAAAACATAAAATGATTTAAAGCCTTCCCTTCCTGAAAGCTCATTCCTTGGCTACTTTACGAAAGAAAAAATAAATAAATAAATGGGTAACCGGAGAGGTGAACCACATTATCGACGAGTCTCGTCCATTACTGTGGATTTATGCAAACCAAGTTCACACATCAGTTCTTGATCAGGGACACGGTGAATTTTTTTTTTAATAGCCATCCACTCCCTTTTTCTTGCTCGCTCGCTGATTCTTGCTTGTCAAATGAGAACTAGTTCAGACACGTTGGTTGGGAGGATAAGCTAAGAGGATTTTAAAACTGTATTTTGCACAGGTATAAGTGTTGTATGAATAAACTGAGATTATGCTGACCACTGGTAGACTTTCTTTTAAAAAGTTGCACTAACAAACTTTCAGAGCCAGTTCTCTGCACAACGGATATCTCTACTACACAATGGGCACGACAAGGCTAGTCACTTATTCACAAAACAATGTTTCGACTGGACTTTTTTTTTCTCTTTCCTTCCTTCCTCTTCCTCTCTTCCTTCCTTCCTTTTTCCTCTCCCCTCCTTCATTCCTCCCTCCCCCCCTTTCTTCTTCCCTCTCTCCCTTCTGTTTCCCTTTTTCTTTTGCTCTAATAGGCCAGATATCATGGGCTTTGTGTCTTATTTCCTAAAGCTCACAGTCAAACCTATTATGAATGTAGTTATTTATTTGATTAACTTGTATAGCCACCCATCTCAACAAATGACTCTGGGCGATGAACAAAAACAATGGTGCCATAAATAGATTAATATGCACCGCAGTTGAGGAAAACACCACAATCAGCTATGCCAATATGCTGCAGCATGCACAGCCAACAACTACGAAGACCTGGGTCCTCTCCCAGTTGTGCCTCCAGTGTTGTCACGCATAATCTACTCTTAGACCTGAAATCCAGCATGAGAGGGCTGAGAACCCATTCTCCCCCCCCCCCGTGAATTTTGAGACCCACACTTGCAGTGGCTTGCTTATTCCTTTGGAAAGCACACCTAAGGCAGAATTAAAGCAATACCATTTCCCATGAATAAAGGCACGTGTATGTGTCCCGGGATAATGTTTCAGGATCCAATCTGGATCGGTCACCAGGACTAGACGTTTAGTCTTCTGAACTTTCAGACTAATGCTGAAGTCCATCCTTGGAGAACTTCTCTCTACTAGAATGTGTGGTAGAGAGAAGATCTACTCTCTCTCTTTTTCTACTCTCTACATTTTGGTAGAAGAGAGAAGTTCTTCGAGGATGGATTCTAGCATTAGTCGGAGCGCTCAGAAGACTAGTTCCGGTGACCGACCCAGATTGGATCCTGCAATATCAATTCATCCACTTCATCTGAGCCATTATGTAGTTTGTAGGAGAGAAATGGCAAGAGGGCTCTAGCTACATTTCAGCCCTCCTTTTTCTATTGTTTTTCCCAAAAGTGGAACGCCAGCAGCTAGGGCTGTGCAACACTTTGAATCCCAAGAACTTGCTTTCAAGAGGGGCTAAAGTTGCAGCCTTCTGGAACTTTAGGCATCCCTCTGAACTCAAGTGGTAACTGCAGGAACAGTCCTGCGTCCCCGGGGAAAAAATGATCTCTGCTTGAAGGGGCTGCGGATAAGGTTCCATCCATAACCTCGCTTGCTCCGAAGAACCTCTTGGGAATTCAAAACGAAACCTGCGAGAATCCCAACGTCTGTTTCTCAAGTGCATTTGGAAGCTGAACTGGGCAAGATATCTGTGGGGATAGTAATGAAACCAGACCGAGGGATCAAAAGCTAGCCAAGGAATTCTCCTGTCTCCAGCCTGTAACCTGAGAGTAACCCAAGCTTTGAAAAAGGACGGCGAGGTTGGGAGGAGAGACAAAAGGCACAAGGAGGAAAGCAGAACGTTTGATACCAGTTGAAAGAAGTTTAATTCTATCTCTTGACGGGAATGAGAGGTTAGCTCCAGCCAACTTTGCAGGTTTCAAAAATTAATCGGCCCTCTCGCTTCCACGCTAACAAAGGTGTTCAATCAAGGTGTTTTTTGGCAATACTTTTGAGCTGGCTGAAGAAGTTTTTCTCTTAGGACACAGTGCCCTCCTGTGGGGCCTTCCCAGATCAGCCTCTGTCCCAGTCATCAATTCCCACTGATTTAACTCTAATCAATTTTCCCAATTCTAACACATAATGTTGTGATCATTGCCACCAGCCTGTCGCTACTTGAAAACAACAACGACGACAACACCACAACCAAAATGAACTGATGAGACCCGCCGTCATCACACTGTTGTATACATTGTTTTAATGCCACCCCAAGTCACTTTAAACCACTCTGGTTTTAATCTGGCAGGTTGGTGGTTGCCGGTTCCAATCCTCGACAGCCTGCATTCTGCTGGTATTTGCGCTGTAATCCTAAGGCTCTGGTTACTAGCCGTCGGGCTACTGCTGTATCTGTCTGAGGTCTTTCTTTAGTCAGCTGAAGGAGCTCTGAGGAAGGAAAAAAAAAGAGAGAAAGATGGCAGAGAAGGAGTAGAAAAATTGGAAAAGGACTAGAGAAGGAGCCTGGTGAAGTCTGGCCCAATGGGCTTGAAGCCACAAGTCATTTTATTTCACCAAGTAGATCAGACCTCATTTAAACCGACAGAGAACTTTTCATGTTAGAATTTCTTCTTTATATAAAAAGGCTGATTTTCAATTCAAAGAAAGTTAAAATGCAAAACTCCCCCCCAAAAAAGCTTTTTTTTACAGAAACAAACAAAAACCAAGAAATTAAAAACGTGCATTAAAAAAAGACACAAACACATCTACACATATTACTCTCCCTAGTTGAATGCTGATTAGTATATTGCAAGAGTATTAGCTTAACCGCCCGCTTTAAAATAATTTTTAAATCATCACCTTCTACAAATAACAGAGATGAAAAATGTGTTTTTCCTTCCTTCAACACCAGGACAAAGCCAAACAGAGGAGGAAGAGGAGGAGGAGGAGGAGGGAGGGAGGGAGGGAGGGAGGGAGGGAGGGAGAGAGAGAGAGAGAGAGAGAGAGACTGACTGCTTGCGTAGAAGTCAAACAGGTCTTCCACTGTTTTCAGGAGAAGGCGTGCCAAACTGATTACATATCTTACTTGGCCGCTGAAGTGCCTTGATTTTCGACTGTCTTGTTCCATGGATCAGAGGCCGGATCTTAACGGAGGTATAGTTCTGTTCCAGGGCTTGAGATGCTGAACAACGAGAGAGAATCCTTTGAGACACCAATTCACAGCAGATGCTTTTGAACTCAATGAGGTGGTCTCATAGAAGAGAATTCTTTTATTGGAGGCTGTCTTGGGGGCGATTGTCGGCAGCCAAAGCATTACTTTGTACTAATGCTGTAATCTCCTGACTAACGTAGCAATAGCAATAGCACTTATATACCGCTTCACAGTGCTTTACAGCCCTCTCTAATCAGTTTATAGAGTCAGCATATTGCCCGACAATCCGGGTCCTCGTTTTACCAACCTCGGAAGGATGGAAGGCTAAGTCAACCTTGAGTGGGTGAGGATCAAACTCCTGGCAGTGAGCTGAATTAGCCTGCAATACTGTATTCTAACCACTGTTACCACCACAGCTTCCTTCCTTCCTTCTCTTTGTTTTCCTTCCTTCCTTCCTTCCTTCCTTCCTTCCTTCCTTCCTTCCTTCCTTCCTTCCTTTCCTTTCCTTTCCTTTCTTTTCCTTTCCTTTCCTTCCTTCCTCCCTCCCTGGCTGAGGAATTCTGGGAGCTGAAGTCCACAAGCCTTAAGAGTTGTCAAGGTTGCAGATCCCTGCTTTACACCATTCCTGCCAAATAGTTGTTCAGAAAACTCACAGCGATTGCGCACCCACAACTCCAGGAGGCAAGCTATCCCACTGATTAATTGTTCTCAGGAGATTTGTCCTCAATTCTAGAGTGGCTCTCTCTTTGATAAGTTTCCACCCATTACTTCTTCTCCTGCTCTCTGGTGCCCTAGAGAACAAATCAATCTCCTTTTCTTTGCGACAGTCCCTTGAAGATACAAAGCTGCTAATGAAATCCCTACCTCCCAAATCCCAGCACTGCGTGATTATCGTGGCCCCCAACAAAGTCATTTTTACCCACTCGAGCTTCCATCCACCAACCCCAGGAGGGAGAAAACAAGAAAATAGGCTGCATACCCACGTACGGACACACACAAAGGCAAAATTACCTGCTGCCAAACTGGAAAAGATCCCGAGGGCATGAGTGTCATCAACCCACTGCAACTTAAATCCACTCTCTCTGAAAGAGACAGATCGGAGTTACTATTCTTTAAATGTCATAGTTTCACGGGAGTTAAGATTTCATGCAAAAGCAGGTCTGACGCTTTCATCTCCCTCCAAGCATTTCCTGTATTCCTGCCCAGTAAGCAGATGCGAAGGCACTGGGATGGTTATAGGTATGGGGGTTTCAAAATGGGGTGACATGGGTCCCTCATGCGAAGCTGTCTATGTACAACTTTAGCAGGAATAATGCATTTGGTGGTGTAGTTATATGACTAGACTAGACTAGACTAGACTAGAATTCTACTCTACTCTACTCTACTCTACCTTGGTAGCGCATGGGTTAGAGTGCAGTACTGCAGATTAATTCTGCTGACTGCCAACTGCCAGCAGTTTGGCAATTCGATTCTTACTCGCTCAAGTTTGACTCAGCCTTCCATCCTTCCACGGTTGGTAAAATGAGGACCCAGATTGTTGGGGGCAATAGGCTGACTCTGTAAGCCGCTTAGAGAGGGCTGTAAAATACTATGGAGCAGTATATAAGTCTAAGTGCTGTTGCTACTACTGGATTGGGGGAGAATCAGATTCAAGTCGTCATTGGACCATGGACCGAACAATCTTTCTCAGTCCAATCTATCCCACAATGTTTTAGGGAACAAGAGAAGGAAAGACTTCTGTAGAAGATGCCTTCAGCTCTCAGAAAAAAAAGTCCGGAATCAAATTTATGCATTTGTTCATTAAATTGTATAGTCACCCATTTCACCCAAAGTGACTCTGGACAGTCTACAGTAATCAAATGAAATCAATCACTAACATAATACATTTTCTAAGTATTCTAGCAAGGCATGGATAAGTGGTCAGGTCATCCTAGTTCAGATAATGCTGGGGAAAATAAGCATTTTTTTCTTCTTTCCTCAGTGCTGCATTTCCCAACAAGATCTTACCAGACTCCCTTCGTGCGTATTAATTAGGAGAAAATATTACGCCTGCAACATACCCAGACTTTTGGTTTGGCTTCCAGTTCTCTGTCAACTCAAAGAGGCATTGCCCTAATCAAGCTATGAACAGTAGGTGTCCTGAAGAATGTATTCTGTTTGATTTCCATTTTTCCAGTGCCA